CTGAGCATGCTAATCAATGTCTTCAGGATCATTAGAAAATCACAGGTAGGTGAGTTTGATCACAGTTGGAGCTGAACTCCGCAGGAAAGTGGATCTCGTGAGCCAGGTTTGAGGATCCCTGCTATAAAACTTGCTTTTTCCTATTTGATTAATTTTATGGCCTCTAAATGATCAACATGATCAAACTTTGCTGTTAAACCTGTCTCTCACACAATCTCCTCCTTTTAGTGTAATTGTAGAAACGTCCAGCTTCGGCTCGAGCTTCTCGTGTCAAATCTTGACTGGTTTTTATCAAGTAAGCGTCAGAATAACTGCAGTAATATCTCCAGATGAACACTTACTGGACTGAAGCAGCTCAGCTTTACTTGATTCTCCATCAATCATGTTTTAGAGTCTCAAATCTGATCCTCAGGATCTTTTGAGGAGCGTTTGTTTCCAGAAGCTTTACTTTCACTGTTCCTCGGAGGAGGAATGATCTTCACAAGCCTCCAGAACATCTCACATCTTCTGAGGAGCCTTTATTTCTTCAGCTCTCAATCACTGCATTATATGTTTGGAGCATTTCAATCTCATCTTACTGAGACACATTACTGGAGATATAGAGCGACCACTGGTAATTATCATTTTATGTAAGTATCTGCTGTACTTATATAAAGATCGATTTATTTACATTACAAGCATCAGAATTTCATCTTACTTACTGGCCGTATAAATATCAGCAGGATATCCTCCACATTCTCACTATATCATATGAACATCATTGCTCCCAGAATAATGTAAAGTGGTTTTATATTTTTATTGTCAACTAAAACTATAGTAAATGTTTATTTTTATACAGTATGTTATATATAATCACATTTTATTTATTACCACCGAAAGATGAGAATTATGTGTTTTATAAGTTCAGTGAACTTAAATGTTGAATAATTTTTTTAAATGTATGATAAATGTTTTGCTTTGCATTAGTAACATGTTTGTTACTATGATTATATATTTTATTTATTACCATATTCTTTAAATGAAGATAATTAAATGTTTTATAAGTTCAGTAAACTTAAATAAATGTTGAATACATGATTAAAATGTATGATAAATGATTTGCTTTAGTAACATGTCTGTTACTATGATGTGTTTTATAAGGTCAATAAACTTAAATGTTGAATACTTGTTTACAGTTTTTTACGATTGCTTACACACTAAAATTAAACTTTTCCAACAATTAGCAAAACCTTACACTCAAGGAGCAAAACACAAGGCTAGATTTGCACAACTGTAAGCACATTGTCAGCTTCACACTATTTGCAAAACATTACACACAGTGATTTGCAAAACACTAAACACACTTGTATACATCAGACACAGAAGTATATCATGATGTCACTTCCTTGCAATTCCAAAGCACTGACTGTCAAATTACCACACCTATGAGCCAATCTGTTAAACACAGCCATCAGGTGCACAAACACATGATTGCTAAATTGTAGACACACCAATCAGGTTTAAGCACTATAAAAATGCAGCAGGTAGGTTCACCTGCCTTCAACCAAAATGGAAGGAGTCAGAAGATGAGTGAGGGTGAGAAGAGGAGTACACAGAGGAGGAGAAGGAGTTAGAGGAAGAGGAAGAGGAAGAGGCAGAGGAAGACCTGAAGCAGGAGGAGAACGTGCACAAAGAAGAAGAGGACCAAACTTATCAAATGACATTCGTGCAACACACAAACCGGGCCCGGTTTTCAAAATTGTGCTTAAGCAATCGTAAAAAACTGTAAAATGGATGATGAATGATTTGCTTTAGTAACATGCTGTCACATGTAATTATATATTTTATTTATTTCCATATTCTTAAAAATAGAGATGTCTCTTTTTAGCTTGAAATGTTTATGTACCTGTGTGCTTGTTTATATGATTTATCAGAACACAAATTTGTATAATGACATGGATATTACACTGATATAACAATGTAAATGTGGCGGGGACTGGAACCCTCTCTGGGCTAAACTCTGGGACTGGAGCCGACACTGGAGCTGACTCAGGGGCAAGGATGAGGGTGGAGAATAGTCTTTTACTCCTCATCCTCCTCCTTTGGCTAGGGGTAAATGGCGCGGCCGGCGGGCTTGACTGAGGACTATGGTGGAGCTTGGGAGAGTTCGGGGACACCCTGGTTTCGGCAAGTGGCAGGCACCAAGTGCAGAGTCGTGCCAGCTCACCCTGTTGGAAAGCTCGAGGAATTCCTCCACATATCCCTCCGATGTCCTACCACTCTGCCGCAGCCCAAACAGCCGCTGTCATCTTTGCTTCGGGTCCGGTATTCTGTCACGTTGCGCTACTGTGAGGAGCACGGAGTGAGGAGACGTGGAGTAGACTTCAAACAAAGAGACTTTAGTAAACATCCAATGGAACTAGGAACACACACGTAGCGGGGAACGATGAACATTCAATACCGGACAGCCAAACTCTGAACAGGAAACACTTTAAATACACATGACATAACGAGGGGATGATGAGAAACACCTGGGATCAATAAACATAATAAAATATGAGGGAAAACTGGGTCATGAAAAGCACGTGGGGAAGGAAAACACGAGACAGGACTGACAGTGTGTGTGTGTGTGTGTGTGTGAGAGAGTGTGTGTGAGTGTGTTTCAATTGCAATTCAATTGCAATTTCAGGGGCACTTCTAAAATATTTTGGAGCATCCTCTGCCACTGGTCAGGATGAGCCACCCACCTTTGATATAACTGTTTGTGCAGAATTTTGTGTTTTTTCTCGAAGGGGGTCTCGCCCAGGGTGTAATTCAATGTAGAACCGCCACTGTTTGTCGTTCCCTGAAACAAGACTGAAATGTATCAAAAATACTAAAAATACTCAAATAAGATGAAATCTGACTTTTTCCAAGACTTTTGAAATAAAAGGTTGTACTATAGAATGTTTCAAAGTGCCTGACACCACCTTATTATCTAGAGAGCTATTAATAATAGCAGTCATGATCGAACTCAAAGTTGGAAAAGCCTCTTTAAAATATGCGAATCAGAAGGGCAGAAAGACGGCTTCATACTTTAAACAACATAAGAGAGCTGTGAAGGTGACATGGGTTAAAAAACAGAAAGCTCTGACAAGGAGATGATTCTAGAGAAGAATTATAAGGTGGTGTGTTAGTCCTAATACACTCAATTTAATGGGTAAAATGTTTAAAAAACGGATAACACAGGTCAGTAGATATCTAGAATGGAACACTAGGAGAGAGGGAGAAAGGCATTAATTGGACTAAACAAGACCTTCTGCCTTTATGCATTTTGCTCAATTAAATCTGACATGTATTTCCACTGTGCTTAACAGTGCTCTGATACCATTTAAGAGTCTCTCTTAATTTTCAATTTAATAAAATTTACTGACCCAACTTCATCATTTTAATTTTCACTGACATGGAATTATGCACTAAAATTGTCTCTCTCTGCCAGTTTCAATTTTAGTTCTTTACAATGACACATAACAAATATTTTACATTCACATTTCCAAAGCATATGCATATAAATAAAACAAAGCAAAACCACAAATACATGACTATAAGAAAACCAATACGATATAGCTGACAAAGTAAGATAAAATAGTCCAAATATCCCATGTGCTATTCCAAGGCTTCTGATGTACCAAACACAAATTTATGTCGTTATTCACTGAAAATCGTGCCTCTGTGGACAGACATGCACACCATATCATTTTGGTGTTATATCTTTTCTTTTCTTTTTCTTCCCCTTGACTTTTGTTTTACTGGTTGGCTCTCTGTTTAACGCAGGCCTGGATCTGGTCAGGTTAGCTGTGGGGCTGAGTTTACTACACGCTTGGGTTGGACCTTGAGTGCATTCCCTGGACAGAAGCAGGTTTGCTGGTTTGGCTGGGAATACGAGCGCATGCCTGGTGAGCTCGAGGCGTTCCCTATCATGAGAAGATGCACATGCTCGCTGCTCATGTTATTGACAGAGTAGCGGCTGCTGTTGGACATGATTATATGATGCCAGGAGCTGAGCGGGGTGGCAGAGAATGGCTGAAGGCCGCTGGAGTCCTCTTTGGCAGCACCTGGTGATATTATCATGGAGCTGCGTGGAGTGACGGCCTCTACAGCGCTCTCAAAGGTTTTTAGGATCCTGTCGCTCTTCTGCTTCTCCTTCTTCTACCGGGACTCCACTTTGCGCAACTGGCACCGGTGGTCTCACATCATCTGTTTCCTAGTATCTGCCAGGCCTTCAAGAAATATACTTTTATGCTTAATCTAATATTGTAGTGAAGCACTAATGTTTGCACATCAGTATAGAGCACTGAAAATTAGTTTCCCTTTACTGCCTATGTAGAGAGATCACAATAATGCAGCTCTCTAGGGTATGGATCAGTGCTTATGATTTATGATCATGTTTAAGTGTGTAAACATGATCATAAAGTTGTATTACTGGTGAGAATTGTTCAGGTGTACGGAGTCTGTGTGCTTTGTCATGCATTTAATGATTAATGACCTCATTAGCTCAGCGTTCAGGGTACAGCAGTAAAAGCGAGCTCACCTGTAGTCCACTATGCCTGTTCGGTCTCTGTCCAGTCTCTGAATCAACTCCTCAATCTGGAATTTCTCCAGTGGGATGCTGGATTGCTGGTGTGATCAGATATAAAATGTCAAAAATATGATGCCATTTGATGCTCAGCCCTACTGACACTTACACTATGTTTGGACTCGTCTGCTCGTTCTTTTCCACATGTCAGAATAGTAGTAAAGTGGGACTTTCTCGGACCCGGGTCAATACCTGAACGGCTTTCCTGAAGTCTACGACAGGAGTACGCATTGTCCCATCCTTGTCGATGTTACGGAAGAAGTCCCACAGGCGAAGCTTCCGCTGATCAAGGTAATCCTTCGAAAAGACAATTCAGCAAATGCAGTGAGAGACCTTCAGACTTGAGAAATTTCAGCAGATTTCATTCTCATGAGTGTAGACTATTTACCTGAATGACTTTCATGGGGTCGACGCGTTTGCGAGGCTTTTTGGCGATAAAGCCACCAACGCCTCCATAATGCACCTCCAGACTAAATAAAGCTTATTAAAAAAAAACAGTAATTTAGCGTACTGATGGCTCTATGGAGGTCATGTTGATACATTAACATTTCAATACGTTTTTAATGTTTAAAAAGAGATTGCTGGCCACAAACGGAATTAAATCCAGACTGGAGAAGGTATAGCAAAATAAAGCAATAAGCCCCAAGAAGCCGTGGTTTACAGTGAATTTATAACAGCTAAGGGGCGTTGTTAGGTACGATGCAAAGCGGAGTTAAATTCACTGTAAACCACGGCTTCACGGGGATTATTGCTTTTATAAAACGGTTATTCCATATTGTCAGTGAGTTATACGCTATCTGTCAGAAAACAATTACCATTATCAAACATGATACTTTCAAAATCTGGGATTCTGCTTTAAAATGACTCAGATTTGCCATTTAGTCTGGTAACATATGCATAGAGGCGGTATAATTGAATTGTTCATTATTCAAACAAGTTATTGCATACGATCGTATTGCATTGTACTTGTGCCTTGTTATAAAGGTGATTCTAATCTAATTTGACATAGATTAGTCTGACGCACCTGTAGCACTCTGAGCGTGTCGTTGGCCTCCAGTCCCCGCCCTCGTTTCCAAAGCCATTAAACGAGAGGTCTAAGTGTTTCAAAGTCGTGTTGATCTGACGACAGGGAAAGGCAGCTTTGACTGTTTGCATGATTTGCACTGCAGTGTGACACTGAAATGTATGTGAGCTGTGTGTGTGTGTGGGTACCTTCAGTCCAGCACAGAAAGCTACAGCTGCTTTCATTCGCAGATGATTCCAGCTCAGATCAAGAACTTCTAAACCGTCATTATTTGCTGCATGAACATACATGCATTTATTGTGCTTGCTTTCTTTGTGTAGTGAAGTTTAACTCTCACACACCAGGTGTGTCGTATTCACCTATCATCTGACCCAGATGTTCATCATCCGATTGTGACTCAAATCCAGCTCCTTCACTCTGTAGTTGCTCTGAAAAGAAACAGATAAGATGTTTCTATTCTCAGAAACTGGAGTTGAGATGACTACATAATTTCTTGCAATTCAGTTTCTGTGTTTATGCATCACTTCTTAAAGGTGCAGTGTGTAAATTATGCGGCACCAGAAGATTTTACAATAAATAAATAACAATGCAACAGCATAATTTGGCTAAACAAGTGATGTAATTATCTATGTTTTATTGCAAAATCTGTGTCAGACTTAAACCCCTTCTGCTTTGTGTAAATTCATATTCTTGTCATGCCAAACTCACTCTTAAATGGGATTTTGCCCGACCCTGTATGCATTACTCTTACTAAACTAAAAACACTATGGGAACAATTTTATAATAATGTAATATAATGTAATGTGTGTCAGACTCTGTTCCATGTTTTGTGTGTGTCCTGCTCCCCATATGCCTTCCCATGCCCTTATTTGGTTAGTTTCCTGTTCCTGTCCTGATTAGTTTAGTTCATTTGTCCCAGGTGTTTCCCTTGATGTTTCACTGCTCCCAGGTGTGTCTCGTCATCCCCTCCTCCTGTGTGTGTGTATATAAAGTGTTCCCAGTCCCTAGTTCTCTGTCCGCCTGTAAACGTCTTCCTGAGTTCGTCTTCCTTGGTTCCTGTAAATAAAGTCTTGGTAAAGTATTCTCCAGCGTCTCCTCGTTCCTCGTGTGTGTGCGCATCGTGACAATGTGTGCTATAAAAAGACATTTTTAAAGTAATTTTACATGGTTTCATTAAATATAACTATGGAAACTGACTTTTTGTCTCACAGCACAAACATATCTTACAATTCTGACTTTTTTTCCCCCCAGAATTCTGATTTTACATCTTACAATTTTTTTTCAGCCACGGGATAAGAAATAAAATGGTAATTGCAACTTTTTTCTCACAATTCTGACTTTTTTTGATTTGTTTATTATTATTATTATTTATTTTATTTTTTTTGCAGTTGTGAGATATAAACTTAGAATTGCAAGAAAAAAATCTGAATTGTGAGACAACAACTCACAATTACATATTTATTGTAATAGAATAGAATAGAATAGAATAGAATATAACACCCATAAAAAGTGCACAGCAAACCAAATCTAAAACTGTTTCAGACACTCCCCCCGTGTGCATTTTTTTCTTCTTTTTTTGACCAAAATGAAGAAACATTAGGAAAAAAAATTCACTCTCCCTCATGTTGTTCCAAATCCGTATGACTTTCTTTCTTCTGTGAGACACAAACAGAGATATTTTGAGAAATGTCTCAGCTTTTAGCCCATACAGTGGATCTCAATTAGCACCAAAATGATGATAACTTCATAACGACAAATACACACTCTCTCTCATCCTTCTCTCCACTCTCGAAGATGGACGTTTCCAAACTTATCCTTTCCAATCATCCTACTACTTGTCCACTTGATCCTATCCCCACTCACGTCCTTCAGGCCATTTCTTCTTCAGTCATACCTTCGCTTACTCACATTATCAACACCTCTCTTCACACTGTTACATTTCCCACAGCATTTAAGCAGGCTCGGGTAAGCCCACTGCTTAAAAAACCCTCTCTAAATCCAGCACTTTTAGAAAACTACAGACTATATCCCTTCTTCCATTCATTGCAAAG